GGGAGAAAGTGATGCTCTCACTTTCTCCCTCCTTTCCCAAGCAAAACGTAATGAAAGTTAAAAAAAAAAAGGAAAAAATATATAAAAATATATATATATAAAAAAGATAACTAAAGGGAGCCTCTAGCCTAAAATATTGCAAGATCAAAAAGGAGAAGAAAAGGTAGATATAAATAAGAAAAAAACCAGTCCAGTTAGCAAATGCAAAATCACGTATAGAAGTCCAGCAATAAAGAAAAAAAAAAAAAGCAAAGCCTTACTTTGACCAGTTTAATAATAAAGAGTCTTAAGAGTAAGGCAGTGATTCCAAAGTCCATACATCTCTTGTTTAAAAATGACCTGAAAGTTTTCTTATGCATGGGAGGTTCCTGTATTCTGAAGGTAGCTCTTCATAATTGTAGTAGATGATTTTGTTTGTCAGTATGGGAATTTGATTCCTCCATTTAGGAACTAAGCACATGAATGAGCTGTGTCATCTGGGGTTCAGCATGCACTGATCTTTCTGATCTGGTCTAAGCCCTTTTCTCTCTTTTTCTATTCTCCCAGTGAAATACCTTGCTTTCCTCCGCAAGCGTATGAACACCAACCCATCCCGTGGCCCATATCACTTCCGTGCTCCCAGTCGAATTTTCTGGAGAACAGTTCGAGGTGAGTTGTTTTCTCCTTAAAAACAAGTAATCCCCTAAAAAGAATAAATTACTTTTTCAAAGTATCTGCACTCATTTGCGGAACATGTGATTTGGTACTTAGTGGGAGTCCACATATGCATTTTTGTGTGTGCATTTTGAACAAGGTTCTTTCCAGATTATGATCAATGCCCCTGTGTTCTGGCAGTTTCAACAGTTGTAGTTCAAAGCACTTGAAGGGTCCAGATTAGCAAAGACTGTTGAATTTGAGGTGGGGTAAAGTAGTTCTAATCAAGGTTACTTTTGCTTATGTTTGTTCAGTAATCACATTTAGTTGTGCTTCATTCTGCTCAGCATTGCAGATATTATACAGTATGATTAATTAGGAGGGAGCTGTTTACGTTTGCTTATATGTTGTAAGAGGTTTTTTGAAGAGATTTGATCTATTCTTTTATGTACCTTGGAGTCTCTGCTTCTATGATTTTCCCATTTCCCCTCCTCGCTCCACTAGGAATGCTCCCTCACAAAACTAAACGTGGTCAGGCTGCCTTAGAGAGGCTGAAGGTTTTTGATGGCATTCCTCCACCTTATGATAAGGTAACTTCCTGATGTGCAATTATCTTAACTCCTTGGCTTCCTATTCTGTTTGATGTTCTTTTTTACCTACATTGTTTGACTTGAGATGTGAGGGGGGGGGGGGCAGTGAGACAGATCTGAGCATCCATAGCGATGCTCAGAGCTGCTTTCATTGTGCTGCTAACGGCATATTTTCTCCTGCAGCGCAAGAGAATGGTTGTCCCAGCTGCTCTGAAAGTGGTCCGTCTGAAACCCACCCGAAAGGTAATGTTTGTTATTGTTAAAAATTACCAGTAGGGATTTAGTACATTATTTCTTTGTTTGACAGTCTGTTGCCATTAAAACTCTAAATTAAGGAGGACCCTTAGCTTAAGTGTGCAAATATGTTTTCAGCTCCTTTTCTCTGGCTAAAAGAATTAAGATAAGAAAAGGAGATCTGAGGCCTTGGAGACTCACAGTTGCTTAGATGATATCAAGCAAGAAATTTGACATTACTGGATGTCCATCCAGATCAGTTTTCAGCCTGAAAATGTAGCAATAGTGCTTATATACTGCTTCATAGTGCTTTACATCCCTCTCTTGGCAGTTTACAAATGTCAGCATATTGCCCCCAACAATCTGGGTCCTTATTTTACCAACGTAGGAAGGAGGGAAGGCTGAGTCAACCTTGAACCGGTCAGGATCGAACTTCTGGTTGTGGGCAGAGTCAACCTGCAATACTGCATTCTGACCACTGCACTACCACGGCTCTTATAGTAGTAGGGGCTCTTACAGTATTTTCTTCTACATCATCACTGTTAGATTGGTGCTGATTGGGAATCGTGGACTTACTAGCTGGCTGAAGGATAATATATCTACATTTGTTAAGGGTACTGATTTAAGTAGGTCTGTGATGATGACATTCTACCATAGTTCAAGTTTCAAGACCATGAGACAATGTTTCATGCACTACCATCTGAGACCTGCCTTTTGTAATAAACTATGATATTTTGAAGGAGTTGGCTTTTTGGGTTAGCAAGTCTGGGTGATGGAGAACAAGAATTCTGATTCTGCTGAGTTATCCCTGCTGGTTGGTGATCCAATTTGTTGAGATCTAGCACAATCTCAAGACAGGTTGGGAAGGACTTTGCTAAAGGAATAACTGGGCTATGCTAAAGGCTGAATTTTTTGGGTGGGTGTGGAGCACTAGGAATAGCATTAATAGGAATCTGAAAAAATGAAATTTACTGAGCAAGAATAGCAGGTGTGAAATTTGGTGCAGGGCTGAGATTGGTCATAAAGTGTGGCTTTTTTCTTCCATGCAGTTTGCCTATTTGGGCCGCCTTGCCCATGAGGTTGGGTGGAAGTACCAGGCCATCACAGCCACTCTGGAAGAGAAGCGCAGACAGAAGGCCAAGGTTCATTATACAAAGAAGAAACAGCTTATGGTGAGTTAACCTGAGCTTATAATTCTAGTCAAGGGTGTTCTGGACCAGAGGTCCCCAACTCCCAGGCCACGGCATGCCAGAAACCGGGCCGCACAAACAAAGAGAAGCCCCATCTGCAGGATGCAGGCAGCACACAAAACCACATCCCCTGGTCCAGATAAAAACCTCTCCGCAGAACCGGTCCCTGGTGCCCAAAAGGTTGAGGGCTGCTGTTCTAGACTAGCCTTAGCAGAGAAATGGCTGTCTCTTCCCCACCCCAAATCTCGCATATCAAAGACTGAGTGGAGAAATGCTTATGCTTGGAAGTCCCAGAACATGTAAATTAAAAATGAAGGGGAAGAGCAATAACTTTAGATTTTCCACCAAGAGAAAGTACTAATTGTCCAATAGCTGGTAAAGAATAAATTATAAAGGGAATCTGAATTATTCTGTGACTGATTCCCTGATAAGGTTGTCAAAGCAAGTTGTGTAATTTCCCAGCATTGGATTTCTACCATTTAGCGCTTACCTGCCTATTAATACCTTGTTGCTGTACTGAGTTCCTCTTCTTTTTCTTTCTCCTTTTTAGAAACTCCGAAAGCAAGCAGAGAAAAATGTGGAGAGCAAGATTGCTAAATACACAGATGTCCTGAAGCATTATGGTATCTTGATTTAAGTGAAGGTCTAGGGTTCAGTTGACAATAAAGAATACAATTTACAGACTTGTGTTATGCTTTAAGTTTTATTATTCTACAAAGGAGTATTTCAAGTACTTTTTCTCCTAGCAATGGCTCCAGTTGATGAGAATGAATACAGGTAGTCTTCAACTTACGACCATGATTGAGCCCAAAATTTCAGTTGCTATTTGTTAAGTGAGTTTCGCTCCATTTTATGACTTTTCTTGCCATAGTTGTTACGTGAATCATTGCAGGTGTTAGTAATATGGTTGTTAAGTGAATCCGGCTTCCTCATTGACTTTGCTTGTCAGAAGGTTGCAAAAAGGGATTACATGACCCCGGGACACTGCAACCGTCATAAATATGAGTAAATTGCCAGGAGTCTGAATTTTGATCACATGACCATGGGGATACTGTAATGGTCATAAGTGTGAAAAACAGTCATAAGTCACTTTTTTCAGTGCTGTTGTAACTTTGAATAATCAGTGTTGTAAGTCAACTACCTGTATTTGTATAAACAACAGATTGTAAGGCATCCAGAAAGTATCCATGATGTCAATCACTCCGAGACATATTCTCTCCAATTGATTTATTTAGGAACAGATTTGGTACGTCGAAGGCAGTTTCCCAAAATGAAATTATTTTCGCACATCACACAGAATCCACCTTCTCTCCTCCCACTTCTACACTTCATAAATCACGAGAACCAATTAACTGCAACTGGAATTTTCTAGTACGACATACAGAATAACCGTGAACTTTTCAACTCCACCCCCCTTCCATTATGTGGCAGCTGAATTTCAAAGCTGACAGGCGTCCCCCCTTGAAAACTCCTAAAAGGAAAAAACAAAACAAAACAGATACAGGGGTTAATACATTGTCCTTAACCCCCTCTCCCCCCCCTCCATGAGGACCCTTCAGTTTGTGGGGAAAATCCTCATGGAATTGGTTAACCAATTGATCAGCATGAACACCCCAACTCTTTACCCAACTAGCATCTGAGAGGGGGTATCCGTTCCAAAAGACCAAATATTGCAATCGGCCACGGTATAATCTAGAATTGAGATTTTTTTGAATCTCATAATGTGTTTCCCCCTGTACCGTTAATGGTTTAGGGGGAGCGATTGGTAGTGGTCTTATCATTGTAGCTAGTTTTAGTAAACTACAATGGAACACCGGATGAATTTTCCCCAATAGTTGAGGAAGACTTAATTGGACAGTGACAGGATTGATTATCTTTGAAATTGGGAACGGACCCAAGAATTTTGGACCCAGCTTCTTACTGGGCAGTTTCAACCTAAGATACTTGGTTGACAAATATACTTTGTCTCCTACTTTAAAAGGCAGTTGAAGGGATCTATGTTTATCCGCCTGTTTTTTATAATTTTTTATAGCTTCGGTCAAAGCTCTTTTTGTATCTTCCCACCCTTTAATGAGTTCATGGACAATAAAAGGCTTGGTCGCGTCTCAGTGTTGGAGGATGGGCTCAGCCGCGAAGAGGCGTTTTAAGGTCTCGAAAGCTTTCTGACAGTCAGTCCAAGCCAGGGGTTGACTTGGCTTCAGTTTGGTGGGTGACAGGCCCGTTTTTAATAGCTCTGTTAATGGGAGGGCAACTTCAGCAAAAGACGGAATGAATTGTCTATAGAAGTTGGCAAACCCCAAGAAACTTTGAAGTTGCTTTCGGGTTCTGGGGGGTTGCCAGTCCAGCACCGCTTTCACCTTTCGGGGGTCCATTTCAATCCCCAGGTTGGATATTCGGTAGCCTAAATGGTCCAGTGATTCTTTATGGAATTCGCATTTTGAGAGTTTCACATATCATTTGGTGGCTAGAAGTTTTTCTAGGACTTGTCGGACCAATTGAATATGTTCTTCCATGGTTTTGCTGAAGATCAGGATGTCACCAGGTATACGAGGACCCCCCCAGTAAAGATGCGGGTGTAGCACCTCATTGATGAGCTGCATAAACACTGCAGGAGCCCCCTGAAGTCTGAAAGGCATGACTTTGAATTGGGAGCTACGCAGAGGGCAGTTAAAAGCAGTTTTCCACTCATCTCCCTCTTTGATGCGGACCCGGTAGTAAGCTTCCCTGAGATCTAGCTTGGTGAATACTTTGCCCTTCAACAGGTGGTTCAATAAGTCCTTCATAAGAGGGAGAGGATACATGTTGACGCATATGGCGTTCACGCCTCTAAAGTCAACACACAATCTCAACCCGCCACCTTCTTGAACAAGGGGGCAGCTAATCTTGATTTGGCAGGCTCAATAAACCCTTGTTCCAAATTGCTGTTGATGTACACTGCTCAAAAAAATAAAGGGAACACAAAAATAAGACATCCAAGATCTGAATGAATGAAATATTCTTATTAAATACGTTGTTCATTACATAGTTGAATGTGCTGACAACAAAATCACACAAAAATTATCAACGGAAATCAAATTTAGCAACCCATGGAGGTCTGGATTTGGAGTTACACTCAAAGTGGAAAAAAACTACAGGCTGATCCAACTTTGATGTTATGTCCTTAAAACAAGTTAAAATGAGGCTCAGTAGTGTGTGTGGCCTCCACTTGCCTGTATGACCTCCCTACAACGCCTGGGCATGCTCCTGATGAGGTGGCAGATGGTCTCCTGAGGGATCTCCCACACCTGGACTAAAGCATCCCCCAACTCCTGGACAGTCTGTGGTGTAACGTGGCATTGGTGGATGGAGCGAGACATGATGTCCCAGATGTGCTCAATTGGATTCAGGTCTGGGGAACGGGCAGGCCAGTCCATAGCATCAATGCCTTCGTCTTGCAGGAACTGCTGACACGCTCCAGCCACATGAGGTGTAGCATTGTCGTGCATTAGGAGGAACCCAGGGCCAACCGGACCAGCATATGGTCTCACAAGGGGTCTGAGGATCTCATCTCGGTACCTAATGGCAGTCAGGCTACCTCTGGCGAGCACATGGAGGGCTGTGCGGCCCCCTAAAGAAATGCCACTCCACACCATTACTGACCCACTGCCAAACCGGTCATGCTGGAGGATGTTGCAGGGAGCAGAACGTTCTCCACGGCGTCTCCAGAACCTGTCACGTCTGTCTCATGTGCTCAGTGTGAACCTGCTTTCATCTGTGAAGAGCACAGGGCGCCAGTGGCGAATTTGCCAATCTTGGTGTTCTCTGGCAAATGCCAAACATCCTGCACGGTGTTGGGCTGTAAGCACAACCCCCACCTGTGGATGTCGGGCCCTCATACCACCCTCATGGAGTCTGTTTCTGACCGTTTGAGCAGCCACATGCACATTTGTGGCCCGCTGGAGGTCATTTTGCAGGGATCTGTCAGTGCTCCTCCTGTCCCTCCTTGCACAACGGCGGAGGTAGTGGTCCTGATGCTGGGTTGTTGACCTCCTACGGCCTCCTCCACGTCTCCTGATGTACTGGCCTGTCTCCTGGTAGCACCTCCATGCTCTGGACACTACGCTGACAGACACAGCAAACCTTCTTGCCATAGCTTGCATTGATGTGCCATCCTGGATGAGCTGCACTACCTGAGCCACTTGTGTGGGTTGTAGACTCGGTCTCATGCTACCACTAGAGTGAAAGCACCGCCAGCATTCAAAAGTGACCAAACCATCAGCCAGAAAGCATAGGAACTGAGAAGTGGTCTGTGGTCACCACCTGCAGAACCCTTCCTTTGTTGGGGATGTCTTGCTAACTGCCTATGCTTTCCACCTGTTGTCTATTCCATTTGCACAACAGCATGTGAAATTGATTGTCAATCAGTGTTGCTACCTAAGTGGACAGTTTGATTTCACAGAAGTGTGATTGACTTGGAGTTACATTGTGTTGTTTAAGTGTTCCCTTTATTTTTTTGAGCAGTGTATTTCCTTAATTCAGTCATTTCAGCAGGCGTCATGGAATACATCTTTGGTTTTGGTAATTTCGCCCCGGGCTCTAATTCTATGGTGCAATCAGTGGCTCAATGGGGAGGTAAAACATTACACTCTTCTTCACTGAATGTTTCAGCCAAGTCTTTGTATTGGTCGGGTACCTGGTGGTTATCTGGTAAAAGGTGGGATGCTATGGATGCTGGCTCCGCCTTTGGGTTCAAGCTGACTGGTGGCTTTGTAGTGGGTGGAAGAGGGGGCAATGGGCCTGGTGCAATGAGGATTTTTCTGAATCCATCCTCCCATTTGATCATCGGGGCCCATTTGTCTAGCCAAGCAAGTCCCAGTATGATTGATTCTGACATCTTGGGGGCCACTATGAAGCGTATGAGTTTGCGATGGGGCCCTAATTCCATCATGATCAATTCTGTCATTTGGGTGGCTGGGGTCCCCCCAATTAAGGTTCTATCCACTTGCTCAAATCTGATTGGGCGTTTTAGCGGGTTAGTCTTTATGCCCAATTGTTCAACAATGGGGAGTCCGATAAGAGATCTAGAACACCCAGTATTGTTAGGGATATACCCTAGCAGAATGTGCACAGCAGTCAGGCAGTCAGGCGAATATGAGAGAAAGCGTTTTTTAGTTTACACACTCAGTAAAAATGGATACACTGTCTTAGTTGAATAGTTTATTCCATTAAGAGTTTAGCAGGGTCAAACAGTCCAAATATCATTCACTAGTGTTCAGTCAGTTCAGTCCGGAGATTGTTCAATTGCAAAAATCCAGTGTCGAAAAAGAAAAGGTCAGTTAACTTACAATGTCAATCCATAAATCAGTCCAGTAAATATCTTCTCACAGTAGATTAGATATGCAGCATTCAAAACTCTTTCCTCCTTCGACGTCAGCAACAGGGAACACTCAGAACAATCAACCATCAATCCAGTAACAATCCAGGTTCTCTAGCTCCCTCTTATGGCAGTTTCTCAACCGCACCCAAATTATATCATTTAGAGTTTAAAGTGAAAAACACATTTAAACTTTGCTATCATGGTTTATATATTATTTACCCAAACAACGTTAGGTAACTATGGTTATTCCTAACAAGTATCAATGACAGCTTCTAACTCCCCAGCCTCCCCTGTGTTTGGTACCACTAACTTGACCTTGATTGTAAAA